AATCTGACTAGAGGTAATGCTAAATAGGCTATTACTTAGAATCATTTCAAATGAGAAATGGTAAACTAGATTTTTTCCTGTGGGCACAGATAGAGTGGTTGTTTTTTTTTCCTCTTAATAAATAGCATAGGAACTCTGGCAAATTTTACCATTAATTTAAACTGCTACCAGGCTGAAATCCCTTCCTAGGAACTAACTAGGTGAAGACTACTACCAATAGTAAGAAGTCCTGAAGCTTGATGCTATAAAATGCGTTGTGTATTTTTGTTTTATCAAAACCATGGATTTCTCATTTCCAGCCTGTGGCAACTTGTATGTTGCTCACATCATTCATGAGAATATCCTAATTCTAGGACTGGTGTAAATGACTGGAGTGTTGTTATTATTTATATAGTAATGCTGTTCATAGTCACCACCTAATTTATGAGCCAAAGGTGCTAGATCCTGAACAGGGCTGATCTGTAGTAACAGGATGTACCTGCTTGCAGGAATATACCCTATAGATATATAAAGGATAGATGACATTAATTGTTGAATGACACAGGAAAACTGGACTAAAACTGAGGTCTCCTGAAATCCAGGTCAGGATCCTGTCTGCTAAGCTGGGAGGAGTGAACAAGCTAATAGTTCCTGAGTGAGAGCAGAGAAGCAGCTGGAAGGGAGAGACTGGCAGAGGCAGTTATGTCTAGATCTGGGCTGTATGTGGAGTGAGAAGCAGCCTGCCATTTTGAGCATAGGCAAAGCAGTTTTTGGAAAAGGACTACTGATGCCAATTTTAATAACTGGTTCAGGAACTACCTCCTACATACCTCTGGATTCATTAGAAATTATGTGTCTGTATTGAGTCCCTGGTGACTTCATATTACCACACTCAACAGGTGCCAGTGGAACTACTCTGATACAGTGGAAATCACTTTGACTAAGTAATGGACAAAAGATAAAAATAAAATGCTTTATCTGATCACTTTACATTTCTGGATTTGAAAATCCAGGCTAAATTTTGAGGTGGTCGCTCTTTGAATTCAGCTTATTTCAGCTGTGGGCCCAAGCCCAGATTCTTAAAGACTTGTCAGAACGATGATGAAGGCTTCAGTCCGGAGAGCTTTCCTTTGGTTTTATACTATCTGACTCTGTTGCAGTAGTACAGTAGTAAATCAGGTCAGAAGGCTCATACATACAGCTTGTGTCTTTGAAAAAGCTCACTGTGTTGTCATGTGCAAAACAGGAAATGTGTAATGGTATGAACCCCAGAGGAGCAGGTCCAGGGCAAACTTTCCTGACCTCTTGGAAAACACATCCATCTGAACTTTACAGTGAAATGGAAACATGCAAGTTAACCACAAAAGCTAAGAAATATCCTTGCCTGCATTGTATTGCTTTAACATGAAAAGTTTTTATGTGAAAAGCAGAGTAACTAATAACACAGCCTACAAGCGAATGCTACCATGAAACCCGTCTTTGTGTTTTTCTTCTTCTCAGAAGCAGTGTCATACGCTAGGTTGTTTTCATTTTGAGAGCAAAGTGGTATTTCACAGTGAATAACATTCTCATTTCTCTTTTTGCTTTGCACACTGAGAGATACTGTTGTTGTCCCCAAAGAGTTTGAAAAATGTAAATACCAAGGAGGTAGAGACGTGATTCAGATGAACTTGAGCGAGTAAAAGTTAGATCATCACTTAAAACACAGTAGACGTTTTGACTGAGAACAGAGATTTTCCTCCAGAAGTGATCTCTTCTGGACCAAACTAGTTCTCCTTTGGAGGCAAATAACCCAGTGTCATATTGCATCTGTCAAAATGAATATAAAGCATTCTTAAAAATGAACATTTCACTCTTGTCCTGGATAAGTATAACAGGAAGACCCAAATCCAGTTCCTAGTGATATCTCAGGCAACATGCCTTAAGGTACAAGGACAAGGTTTTATCTCTGATTAAATCAGAACTCAGGGAGGAATACACCACTTGAAAATCCAAAAGCTAAGTTTTAGTTTTCATATAAGCTAATAGCTATTTTTAATTGTTTTCAAAAGGCTTGGGAATATATTCTAAGAAACCACTTAAACCTCAGAAGTTTTGTATATTCCAACTATAAAGCCTACTACATAGAGATCTGCTAAATGTTTGCAGACAGACTTGTATTCATTTCTTCCTTTAAAATTTTGGTTGTTGCTGTAGAGTGTGTCTTCACCTACTGGTAGAAACAATATTACTTTAGGAGCCTTTCAGTTAAACACAGTGCTGAAGTTTAGTGGAACATAAATGTTTAGCTCCGCAATTTAGTCTGTAAGCATTTGAAAGGTTGGAATGTTTATCCAAGTTGGCCAGGCTTCCAAAACTTACAAAACTGATCTCTGTTTGGAGTCTTAACAGGGATTAGAAAATTAAGAGATTTACTCATTTGAAAAAAGAAGACAAAAGACTCTTCTTTAGCTTCCACCAACAATTAGGTTCAGTTCTGTTTCACTTTGGAGTTTCCTTGGAACAAGTTTGCCTGTTGTGAACTGATGTCAGAGCAGAAGTGGTTGGGATTAGGATTGTCCCTGGAATCTCAGTATAAACCCAGGTCCCACTGAAAGGAGGGAAAGGAACTGATGCAGTTAATATTGCTTTTGTAAATGTCAAGCTGCAAAAGTTGAGGAATTGCTTCATGAGCAATTAAGTTGTAACTGCTATGAAAATGGCAATTTCCATAAGAAGGGAGGAGCTACTGTCACACAGATGGGACTGTAACCTTACATGTGGTCCTTCTTTATTATGATACTGCTACATACATACATGTAAGTAAAGATAATTGTTCTTAATTTTCTGGTTGGTTACTTAATGTTTCACAGAACTTTGCTAAAGCTGACATATATTATATTTGTAAAGGGCATATTTTCATGCAGTAAGTAGAGATGTTATTCTGCTTATTTTTTGTCTTACTTCAGTGCACTAAGATGCTGAGTCTGTAACATAATTCATAGCATCACCGGGTCAGCTGTTGAAATCTTCCAGTCAGTTCAGAGAGGAATTGGCAACTTTATGTAGAGGTTCAGCAGCAAAAACAGCAACAGAATTCAAACAGTAGCTCCAAAATATGAAATTAACATTTTCATAGTTCAAAAGAAGGCTTGGTTCATGTTATGCTGAAAGGGCAAGTGAACTGTCAGGAAGGTGTTATTGTATGAAACTTAGTTCAGTTGTGATTAAAAGTTACACAATATTTTCATGAAATGACTATGTAGAAGAAAGCTGTTTTCTCAAACCACAGAAGGGGTTAACTGAATAGCTGCTGTTTGACAAGCTCTAAATACAACATCAGGAACAAACTCAAATGGGTTTTAGTTAAACATAGATTGTCCAAGAGGGGAACTGTATAGTTATTTGACATAATTCTTTTAAAAGTATTTAAATATAATTATTCTCATAGATATTTTATAGCTGTGCCCATAGATATAATCGCTGTAATGACACAACTGACCACTTGAATTCCCCCGTGCACTTCTAGTGACTGGATAGCTGATATTACCCCATGTTTTAAGTTGCTAAATACCCTGAGGTGACTTTATTTTGCAAACTTTTTTCATTCTTGCTATTAATGCAATGATAGTTGCACAGTAGTGGCACAGTCATTATTTTAAAACTGTGAATACTCACGTCTATAACGTTTTGATAGATAGTAAAAGGACTCCCTCTATTGGCAAATCCATGTGTAACTATAAGATAAAAGAAATACCACGTGCATATATCTTCCTGGGCTACTAGGATCTTGTGAAATCTTGGAAATTTGATTTAAATTAAAAAAAAAACTAACCACAACCTGCAAATGAACTGTAAACTTTGACATCTCCATAATTCTGGTCTATTTACATCCGAGTGACAAAGACACTACCTTCTCATTAACGTTTTTTTTTTTTTTCATTCCATGCTGTAGAATTAAATTACAATTGAAGGAAGCTGGAATGTCAGTGGCTCATATGTTTGGATGTTAAATAGTTGGGAAGGGGTAGTAATACAACTATTTAAAGAAAAGACAAAAATGCCTTTCCCTGTTTCCAGAAGATAGAGGGCTCTGACTTACCATGTCATGCATCTTAATAGATTGCTATCATGAATCTTTTGGTACTTTGTGCTCTGAGCCATCTCAGGTAATAGCTTTTGCTGATATTAACTGCTTTGTAAAAGTCACCAGAGCTTTTTTGATATTGCTCCTAAATGAGAAAATGCAGGTCTAGTTCTTTGTCAGGATATAATAGGATTCCTCCCTTACAATCCTAATCAAAGGAGACTTGTAGGGCTCAAAGTAAAGATGAGCAGTGCAAAACAAAACAAAACAAAAGGCATTTGAGGCCAGTTCTAACCACTTAGGACTGACTGAATTTGAGAGAGAAAAATTCTTTGGCAAGGGTTAGTTGCCATCACATCTGAGCCTTTGTTCTGCATATTTTCCCCTGGCTCCACGCGCAGAGCTCCAGTGCAAGGACATTATGTATGGATCCTGGGTAAAGCATCCCTAACAGAATTGCGCAACACCGAATGGCTACGCTGCTCACTCACCACCAGGCGACTCTAGCTCTCTGCAATTTAAAAGCAAGGAAATAAGTATTTACTGAATAATTTTTGTAGCCAATTAGACAACGTTTGTTAGAAAAACTCTTAACTTTAGATTTGAATTTACCTTCTTCCCTTTATACAGCTGCTCTCTCGTTACTGTCAATACTGAGAATGTAAAACTGATTTTATTCAATTTCAGTTAAATATTTTGTAAGAAAGCTCTTTGAGGATCTGGTTCCTCGTCTGTGATTAGGGTTCTTACCACAGAGCCTGGGAGACCTATGAAAAGCAACCTTTCAGTGCTTTCTTTTCTTAATGGTGGCAGAAGCTTTTGAGCAATCATGGGTGAAAAATGCTTTGAATGAGATGGTTTTCCCTAAATGTGGGAAAGGCTCCTGAGTGAGTCTGGGCTGAGTCATGGGAAGATTATGCTACTTCTGCATATGAGACATAGTTTATGTTCCTAGTGTGATGTCCCAAGAAGTGCTTTGCCACAGCTGGAGGCTGCTGCAGCCAGAGGCACAGTTTGACAAGGTGCTGACCCCCATCATTATGGAGGTAAAAGAACCCCTCAGAACTTGCTGCATACAAACAACCCCCACAGGCATCAGACTCAATGATCAGAAGGTCTAACAAGTTACACAATGATTATTTTAAACTACATTTTGAACTTTGTATTTTGGTACTCTTGGGAATTTTTCAAGCCTTTCAATTTTGCCCAGTAATTACAAAGAAGAATTACATATATAGTATACTTATCCTCATGTAGTCCTTATGGCTCCTCATATTTTTGTCCTCACCCAGAATAAAAAGAAGTGCTATTTATTTCCATTTGGGGGGAAGGAAATCTGAAGCGCAGACAGGCTAAAGTCACCTCTAGGCCTACGGGGAGCCAAAATTTTCCAGATCTTGCTGTTCATCCATAATTGTTTTGGCATACTTAAAATACTGATAAGCTATATATCCTTTCCCCACAAAATTACCACATAAATAAGAAAGGGCATGCAGTAGTTGAGGAAATAGAAATAGTACTGCTCAAGATGGTGTTTACGAATGTAGGATTTAAAGGTGAAGTGAGAAGAGCAGAAGAGTAAAGCTGAAACTCAAAAGATTGAAAGGAAACAGTGGATGAATGGACTGACAAGAGGAGCTATGAGGTGTCAGAGCAAGAATCAAGGCTAAATAAAGCTTTGTGATTGAGGTTACTCCAAATCCAATCTTCTCTTCCTATGAGAGGAAGCAAAGTGATTAGAAAATAAGGAGAAGATAATCATAGAAACACTGCTGTAGACAGAGTATAGAAGAGCTGGATAGGAGGTAAGGAGATACAAGAATTGAGATAACTTGTTTTCTGAGTTGTTTCCCAAACTGTAAGGAAATAAGGGTCATTTAAGAGTACAAAATGTCACTCATGAGTTTTCATAGAAGGTCAGCACATCCTTCTAAATCTCTAGAAATATGGAGCACGATGTCAGTAAACACAAGGATTGTCAAGCGTTTGATGCAATAGGAATAGGTGCTTGTAATAGCTTATGGTTCACCAGTCTAAATACAAGTGATAATGAAGGTCTCTTTCTCTAATATTTTAATCTTAATTTCTAGTATGGAAAATCCTAAACAAAGAAACTGTGGTGCTTGAGTAATAAGAATGGCAATGCAATACCTTGCTATTGAAAATAACTGAAAGACCAAGAGTAAATGGCCTGAGTCAACTAGAGCTTATAGCAAAATATAGCTGTTATAATTACTGGAGCTAACCACTGTCAGCTTAGTACAAACCTCTTGCCTTGTGCAAATTAGAATGGAGTACAGGAAGTGCTAGAAAAACTGTCTTCCCTCTTATTTGGTCTATATCTTCTTGGGAAATCCTCTGCCAACAAAGTATCTTTCAACTGAAAATGCAAAGCCAATGTTTTGAAACGTGCTGCTGAAATACAGTATAATAGTTGGCTAAGTCTCTCCAACTTCCTGTGCATTTTATCACAGAACCTTGGCTTTTTTTCTACCAATGGGAGGAAATCTCTGCTCAGCTGCTGAACTGATTTGAACTCTCTATGATATCGCTGGGACAGATTGCCTCTGAGTTGCTGCACTTTCCATTTCCTGGAGACAAAAAAAAGAAAGGTGGGTATCTGTGTTTATGTTATATTAAGCTCTGCCCAGTCATTTTGTGAGGCTAGAGATTCATTTACAATGTAAAGTGAAGAGTTCAAAATGATACTGTAAATTGCCGCAGACTTGACACATATGAATAAACAGCAGAAGTACATAGTCCTTTAGTACTAACACTTTCTTCTCCATTCAGTTTGCCATTTGTAAGCATTGAAGAAAGATAAATCAGAACCTGAAAACTGTAAGATATTTTAAACTCCTGACTACTTGCAATTTATTGTAAAATCTGTTTAGCTTTTCACATTTACACCTCTCTGGATGTCCCTGAGATTAGAATTTATTTTGAAATGAAAGCTTTTACGTAATTGCCTAACAGTACTACTTGAAATTCTAAGAAAGATGCTACATATCACCGACTAACGATGAAGTTCTTATCAATTTCCAAACAAGGTAATTCTGTGGAAACTCATTCAGACATCACTCCACTGAATTACCTTCAAAAGTACTAGCAAATATGTATGTATTTTCCCATACTGGGAGCTTAAACGCTGCAGGTGTAGGTAGGGTGTACTAGCCAGGGCTAGCTCGGTCGATTTCTGAGAGCTCCTCTTCCATTGCCAAACTCTATTCCCTGGAGCCATTTGCAATTAGATGTTAACTGGAAGTTCATCTGGAGTTCAGAAGTCAGTTTTGTAAGAGCCACAACCCTGAGCAGATCTAAACAAATTGCATAAGAAGCAGTCACAGAGGAAGTTAACTGGCAGCCATGTCTGAGCAAAAGTGTAGAAAAATCCAAACTGCAAAGGGCTAACTAACTGTTGAGTTCTACGAGTGCACGTTGCAAGGTGTCAGCCCAGCAAAACAACAAAGGTTATGTCCTGTGGCAGTAAAACAAAGAGTTATACAACTGTAACACTTTAACGGTTTAATGAGATGTTTGTATTAATACGGAATGGAAACTAAAGCACTTCATCAGTTACTCCTTGATGAAACTGCTTATTTCAACATTGTATTCTGCTTCGTGTGAAGGATGATAGTTTATACATGCACACTCAACACTTCATAGCTTGTATAGCCCATTTATCCTCATCTGAATGAATTTAGTGAGGCTGGAAGGTGTCAGATTGACATCCTCAGAGATCAAAGCTAAGGGCATGATTGTTTAACAGAAAACGCAAAATGTGTGCAAGAAAATTTTTTCAGCAAAAATCCCATGTACTAAGAATTACACAGCTCTAACGTGGATGCCCCTCTGGTAACAGGAGGTCTGTAGAAATCTGGACAAGGGATTCTCACAAATACTGGTTGAGTTTATGAAAAGGCTATATTGTTGAATTCCTCAGCATATGTCAAGTCAAACCATGTGCTATTAGGCTGTATCACCTATATTCCATACCAGGAACAATGAAGAGTCATTAAACATTGCTGTCTGCCATTCAGACTGGACTGCAGAAATCAGTTCAGCCAAGTTTGTGTCCAAGAAATGAATTTTAAAAAGCACAGTTTTTTCAGGATTGTAACATAGAGATCAGGGGTAACTGCATAATTTGGAAACGATATACGAAAGTCTGAAATCTAAAGAATGCTCAGGAGTAGTAACAAAACTGAGGAAGGAAAATGAGTACAGGTGCTTATTATTTTGTTCAGATCCATGTGTTCCTTTTGCTGGCTAAAGCGGAGTGTAGAGCATTTGGGAGGCTGGCTTTCTAAAGTCTCCATCAATTAACATGTAAAGTGAGCTATAACTAAGAACACCTCCCTCTCATAAGTGAGAGCTGGAAAATTATGGATTTTAGCTCCTAAGGAGTCAAAATCAATGTAGGCTGGATGTATGCATATTTGCAGAGAATCTGTTCCTGATCAAGATCATGCAGGGAGCCTGTGAGGGTACCTGGATCTCTCAGGTTCCAGACTAGTGCTCCTAATAATGTGAATGGTACCATGGGCTGGCTACTACTCTAGGATCCTAGGTTGCCTGAAAGACAGAGTTTTAAAACTTACAAATTTCTTTTGTTGTAGTTTCTGTTTGCTTTCAGTGAGTTAACTCTCAGGTGGTTTATCCTTGAGTTTTCACCAATGGACTCTTTTAGTGATGGAAATAAAATACTGAAAAATGGAAATGGCAAAAGGAAGGAAAGGAAGAAAACAGCACCTGTGAAATCAGGGGTGTGGATATTGTATAGCTATTAGATCCATCACTCAGTCCCGGGTTGCTTACTCTTACGGCATGAACTCACAGTGAAAGGTATGAGGTTGGCACTAAAGATTGGAACAGGCAGTAGGAAAATGCAGTGCTTGCAGAAAAATGCTTCTGTGGCTTTGTGGGTTAGAAAGTCTTCCTTTGAATTGGCATTAAATCAGTACCAGCACAATGTCAGAAAGCAGTATGACCATGCTTGAGATAATATGAAGACTCTCACATATCCCGATACCAAGGATTCTAGGCCTGATTTGCTACTGTCTTACCCTAGCTGTGATATCATTGTCCGTACACATTTGGTATGAAATGCTAACGCAGACTAACTGTTGTTAACGTTCACAATTTTCAAGGAGTAAGAGTAAACATCTGTTCAAAGTACATGGGCAGAGGAGGTTTTGGGGTTCTATTCTTGCTAAAAACCAGTCTAAGTACTGGTTAGTAGCCTACCTTTTTTAACTGGAGAAAATATACTTGAATTTTCTTCTCTGTTTCCGCTGCTCGGTGTGGCTTCTGTGGCTAGCTTAGGAATTGTGTGCTGCAGTACTTCCGCTTCCAGCCTGGCTTTAGGTTTCTTACTGAGCTTGTTGAAAACCAGTTTTAAAAGATGCAGGGCTAAAAAAAACCAAATAAGTCTTTAAAAAAGCAAATATGCATATATATATATATATATATGTATATATGTATGTATATATAAAATATATATATACAAAAATAAATTACATCTATATCCACCAGATATGTTCTAGCATGTTCTAGCATTCTTTCCTTCCTCTCGTAAGCACTCAGGGAAAATTGTTGTCAGTTACATTCTGCTCTACAGCTGTAGTTAAGTTGGGATGTAATACTTACTTCACCAGTTAGTTGTTCTAATGTCCTTTTGCAATGAAATGTATTACAAAGATACGGAAGATACTTCCAGTCAGAACTCTTGAGACTCTTAGATCTACCCTCATGACAAGGATTCATAATACAACTAAGCTGATCTAACAGGCATCCGGGAAAGCATGCCTGGAAGCATGGGCTGTAACGGAGAGAGTGGCCCTGCTCCTTTTTGGCAATAGGTATACTGTTGAATGTCTCTGTGGAAGTTTCAGATGCAATGCTGCTGAAAGGGATCGGAAGTGGGCCTTATGCAGAGTTCCTGTTAACGTCTCTTTTTATTTTAATAATCTCTAAGGGAAGCAATAATTTAATGTGCAAGTTGCTTCCAGGTCTGTGACTTAGTAATTGACATGCCCTCCTTTTGAAAATGGTTTCCATTCTTTATGTAATTGTCTATTTTTATATATTTGGAGTTAAAAAAAAAAAAGACACTACAGTTTGTCACTTGTTTGAACAGACCACCTATAAGACACTAAATGGAATTTAAGGGCAGAAATAGTAGGTTATGGAATTACAGAAACAGCTTGCCAGAGCCAGATCTTCATGCTTGCATAATACACAAGAGGACGACATAACAGTATTTTTTAAGCTTTGTTATGTCCCAAACGTTCACTTGAGTGAATTTTGACTATATACTTGTATTTATCCACACACTAATATACCAGAACAGTTGATCCCTGTTATTTTGTTATCCTGCTCTGCTTCTTTATGATGAACACATCAAAAGCATGACCAATGCTTATCACAACACAGGCTTATCACATCCTGTTTAATATTTCAGAAACTGGTATATCTATGCGACGTAATTCCTTCATGCATGCATCTGAAATATATGATCCACATGAAACCTTTGTCACTTCTTCATGTATTTGTTCTCGTCTTGGATTTTTGCCCAGGAATGTGTGAAATTCAGTGGTTTTAATTATTTTTTTCAGGTTGAATAAAGCAGGGGCCAGGGCTCACTAGTTCTACATCTCTTCTCTAAAAAGGCAAAGACATTGCTGTGGTCTTCCTTGCTCAAGACTGGAGACATGGGTGCTCCTTTCTCAAAGAATATCAGGGATCCCTTTCCCTGCTGGAGATAGGAGAGAAGCAGAGTGGGTAAGAACCCTGACAGCCAGAGAATATGTTGTTCAGTGAACAGTGAAGCCTTATTCATGTTTTCCTATTGTTAACAGAATTTTCCCCATTGTGGTCCTTTGTTGCCTCAGAGGCAGTTTTGGAATTAAGACTCCATTAAGATACCTATGGAAGACAGAGCTATTATTTTGGGATGCCTAGATACCCAAGCAGACTGGACTATTATTACTTACACTTGGATCACTTTTCGAGGATTTTTATTTGTCTGCTTTCATAACCAGAAAAACTAAATATAAACTGAGATTCTGATGTAATAGTGTGTATCCTTTAGAGGCACAGCTTCTGACAAGTAAAGGTTTTGATTTCTTCCTGCCCCAGTTTCAGCAGAATCTCTTCTGTTCAGTCTTCCAAACTCTACTGAGCTCTAACAAGATTGTAAATATTTTCACAGATACTCCTGCAAATTTTTACCTTGTATCAAAACCCACTGAAGTCAACTGAGAGACTTCACTGGGCTCAGGCCTGAATCCATCAGTTTCATGTGGCTCTCATAATAGTTCCCCTTGTTTTACTGACAATGAAAGAGACTCACCGTAACAGCTTACAAATTGTTTCAAATATTAAAAAAAAAAAAAAACCCTCTAATGTGCTGCACCTAATTATAAGCATGTTTTTTACAGAAAATTATCCCTTAATGGTGTTATGATGCAACTTGATGATTTTTACTGATATGTTGCCAGCACTACTGCATTATATCTTTTTATTTTGCTAAGAATATTTGCTGACCGTAATAACTTTTGCAGGAAAAGGGATTTGCATCACCCAGAGCTCCCAAGGAGCCTGGGCTCAG